ATATATATAAAAAGTTCCCCCGCTCATTTGCATAGCTTCATCTTTACCTTTTCCCATTCAGCTCTTGCAAAAAAAAAAAAGCATATCTATTCAAAGCCCTTGCAAAAAGCATATCTATTCAAAGGGCATTTAGTCCATTTCTTTCTTGGCCGGTAAACCTATTCATCAATTGTTCTGCCTTGTAGATTGCATTCTAATGCTAATCTAGCGTGTTAAATATCTTTTTGTTCCCCTTTCACCGTTTTGTCATTCAGTTTATCCAGTTTTGGTCACCCATTTTATTTATTTATGCGCCTGCTCCTATTCAGGGGCTCATGTATTTTTTATTATGTTGTTTCACTGTCACGCAGTGTCAACTTAGTCTATTCAATGGGGGCTACTTGAAGGCCGGAGGGACAAAGCGTGTACACATTGCAGCGCTATTCATTCCGGCCAGCTGGATCGGCTGAAAAAAAAACCTTGTGAAAAGAAACGGCTCACAATGGACACAGAAGAACTGCACAATGCTAACAGTTTTCCAAATACCACTGATTGGTTTCTTCACAATGAGGAGAAAGCCGCCGCTTTTTCTTAGCTCCACTTCAACAAACAACACTCTCACAAAACCTCCCAACCTTGCGTTTTGTTCCCGGACAAAACCTCCTCGACTGTCTAAACGCTCCCACTGAAGGACAAAAAAAAGAAAGAAAAAGAAAGAAAGGAAAAAGAGAGAGAGAGGATAAAAAAGAGCTCTTTTCACCATTTCCCTCTTTTTTTCCCTCCCCCTGGAAGAGGAAAAAAAAAGGAAAGAAAGAAAAGGAGGGGGTGGATTGTTAGTGAATTAATAATATCAGTCTTTTAAAAGAAGAGGGCTGACCTTTGAGATGCACTGGGCCGAGGGAGAAAGAAGAGGGGAGATTTTAATAAAGTTTGGACGGCTCTCTCTCTCTCTCTCATTCTCTCTCTCTTTGCCTCCTCTGGGCTGTGGGCGCAAGGAAGCCTCCATCACTTCGGGGCGCACGAGTTGTGGGGCCTCCCCTAGTCTGGGAGCACCGAACACTCCCCCCTCCTTCCACTGGCCGGGAGCACCGAACCCTCCCCCCCACCCCCTCGGGCCGAGGACTACTGCTCCTGGAGCACTGTGCTGAGTCGCAGCCGTGCTCTGATTGGCTGGCGCTCGGGTCCCCGTCTGCACCGGGAAGAGCAGAATCTTGTGAGCATCTTCCGCGCGCGCCCCTCGCCAAAGCTGCCCCGGGCTGGGGCGTTCATTGGAAGAACCCAAGTGTTTGCCCTAGTTTCTGGGGCAGGCAAGGAGGGGTGGGGTGGGGACGGGAGGAGGAAGAGGAGGAGGAAATTGTCAAAAAATAATAATAAAAAAGTAAGCTGGGGGTGGGAGAGCTGCCCCGCTGCTTCCTCGAAGACACCCCCGGGACGCAGCGTCCCCGGCGCAGACCCGATCGCGTCTCGAGAACAATTCCACCTGTTTGCTCACAGCCAGAAGCAACAGGCCCGGTCCCAAGTTGGTTCAAAGTTTTCAGGCAATGATGCCTATCCATGGAATGTCTTTTATTTTTTTTTAATCTTACATTTAAAATAGGAAAAGGGAGAGGAAGGTGTCTTAGATGTAAGAGAGAAGGAAAGCAAGTCGAAAAGGGAAAAAGAGAGAGAAGCAGGGAGAAGAGAGACGGGGGTGGGGGTGGGGATCAGGGGGTGTGGAGCCAACAACATCTCTTTGGCCAAATCTCAGCGCTCTATTTTTTAGGTTACTTTCAGATTCCTAGGCCCACCCACCCCTGACACCTTGTGAACACCCCTCCGGACGTTCCTGCCACCCCCCCCCCCCACTCCTGACTTTTGGCCAGTAGTTCTAGGGCAGGGGGGTGGAGGGCATAGACCCACCAACTTGTGAGCAAGACCATTGGAACTAGAGGGGTTGATAAATGGATCCCGGGCGCTTCTGAATGCACTCAAACTCACTCACCATCTGTGGGTGAACTGACCCTGACTCTCTTCCCCGCCTGCCTCTCCCCTCCCTTTACTAGTCTTTCCAGTCCTCTTCTTATTCATCAGTTCTTGGGAGCGTTTTTCTCCCCCAGAAAACGCTCATCTTTGGGAAAAGGAGAAGGGGGTGGGAGAGGGCGGAGAATCTTCAGGCCGGTGGGGGCTCCCCGAGCTGGAAGGCTCCGGGAGGTAACTAAGATTTAGGGCTGGGGTGATTTCCAGCGATCCGCAGGAAGTTCCGTGTAGGGAAGTGATGAGTTGCTACAAAAGGGAAAGACGAAGCTTTGAAAGGATTTAATTAACCGTGTCAGGGATAATTACCCCTGGACAGTCCAAATTAGTTTTGCATAATCGCTCAGAACCTTATGAATTAACTTATAATATTGCAAAGAGCTCGGAGAATAACAGGAAGGGGATCGTTTTAATTAGTGAATCAGGGTCAAACCAGCAGAGTCTATTTCTCGCATTTCCAAAAGTTTTTATGGTGGTTGTTGCTGTTTAAATATTACTCCATTGGGAGAAAACAATGACTTTAAAAGACCGAGTGCTTACAAAGACACTCCGCTCTGGGATGGCTTCTGTCCGTGGGGACATAGTTTAAGACTGGTTTATAGTATCTTGAGAATTTCTGTATTTGAAGGGGGAAGGGAGGAATCTCCCTGCAACTTTATTTTTTTTTCTGGTTATTTTCCATGGTGGTCTATCATTTCCTTCCTAAAAGTAAGTAAGACTCCTCTCCAGAGGAGTCTTGGCTAGTTCTGTAAAAGCAACCTTCTACCATCAGAATTGCTACATTGTACTTTTAGTTAAGTGCTCTCAACATGCCAGAATAAGGCCCTAAAGAGGCCAAAAGTTGTCCATTTCTGTTGGCAGCGATTACCCTTCCAAATAAAACCTTAAGGTGCAAATAAGGAATACCCTGAAGATATGTGAACAAATTACACTGATTTAAGTGGCAGGGCTCTTCTGCTAACAAGATAAAGTGGTCGGGCAACTTTCTCCTCTGAAAATGTTACTGGAAACTGATGAAATGCTTTGAAGAGTCTGGATGTTTTCAATGGGCCCTGTTCTACTGGTTCATGAATGTTTTTTACTCTCTCTCCCCTCTCTCTTGCTCGCTCTCTTTCTAAAGATAATGCAACTACTTGGGTTTGTTTCTTATCTTCTTTCCTATTCACGATTAAAAATGTGATAAATCAGGTTTTTGGCTCTGAATAACAATGGCTTGATTTAGATTTCCTAGTAAATCTATTCAAAAGCGAAACAAAGACTGCCTTTGGAGGATACCTTACACTTCACCTGGACCAGGCACGTAAGGGCAGTTCAGATAAAAATCTTGTTAGGAACTCAACAAGAAATAGAGGATTTTCTCTTTTCCCTGGCTCAGGCTTTATTTAAACTCTTTGTTCAAAAAAAATGAACAGAGTGATAGTTGGATTCTAATTTACAGATATAGCTTAGACGCATCTAATATTAAATTAGAAGATCACACAAGGAAACCATTTACACATAAGAGTTAAAACCAATATTTTAAACTTTTTAAAACTTTATATTACATAAAGCCAAAATGAAACTAAATACAAGTTAGCCAACTTCATTCACAAACATTAGTCAAAATATATACATTTAAAAAGAAACAAAAGCTACCTTTGAGGAAGGTTCTTTCTAGAATGTGCTTTATCATAATTCAAAAATGAATTGCGGGCAATCTTAAAAAAAAGAAAAGAAAAAAGGAAAAGCTTATCCAGGAGGGAACTCCAAACACATTAAAAGGATTCTAGGTGGTGGAGAAACACTAACGAAAAATCAAAGGCATCTGTCAAGTCAATTCTGTGCTTCCTTCAGTTTTGCTAAGTAATAAATATATAATTACCACTCAGACAAAAAGTCTGATTTAAACTTACACAAAACTGCGATTCTTGAAGTAGTCCCGCAATTTCTAAAAATTAACTTTGACATTTGTTCGAAATGTTTTTGGGTCTCAAGTCGAGTCCAATTTAAGGGCAACAAAAATACTTTCCAAGACTGCATGTTTTCACTGACATACACACGTTCATAATCTTAAAATGAACTCAGCCAAGAGGGTTGGGGTGGGGGTCGGTGAAGAGCTAACTAAGCCTTTCTTTCCCTCTTTTTGTTAACTGTGTCAAAAATCCAAGCCAGAGGTATCAGGGAGACTTCCAATAGATTTTTAAAGGGGAGAAAAATCCAATTGACAACTTCCCTCTCACACGCACCTCTTTGCATTTCTCGCTCTGATTTGCATATGGCTTGATAAAAAGAATTCCTGATCATCCCACATACAAAAGGCCAGATTTGAGCTGGTCACTAGTCTAGAATGGATCCGGGCTGGGGAGGAGAAGGGGGAGGATTCCGCTTAAAAGAGAACAGATCTGCAAAAGTTCAACTAGTACACGTAGGGAGCAAGGTTGCAAGGCGGCTCCGAGCCTTCCCGCTCAGAGAAAACTACTGACAACAGATCACCGGCTCGACCCCCTGTGCCAGCCACGTTCAGACCTAACTGGATCAGAGCGCACGTAACTCAGAGGCCGGGGAGGGGTTGGTGGTGGTGGAGAGACCAGGGGAGGAAAGGCAATGAGAAACCAAAGCAAAACAAAAACAAAAACACCATAATAAAACTTCCAGCAAACAGAACTGAAGGAGCCCAACATGTCCAAAGGGGGGTAAAGTTTACTCCTCCACCTCGTGTGGGATCAAAACGCAACAGGTTCCGAAGTGCAAAGCCAACCCTTACACCGCGGCGGCCGGAGAAGCGAGCCCGCCCTCTTTCAAGTAGGGGGGCAGACACGCGGGTCGCAACACGATCGTGTGAATCTCACGCGCACACGCGGCCCGCGCCCCGCCCTGGCATCTCCGCCTGGCACCTATACAGCTTCTGTACATACACACCGGGCCCCCCTCCCCCAGGGGCGGGAGGGCGCCCCGGGAGGCCGCGGACCTCGTACCTATACATATGTACACGTGTGCCCACCGGTCCTCGGGCGGCGGCCCCGCGGGGGTCATAGCGCAGCGGCGTAGGCCGCCGGGTAGGGGTCCAGCTGCGGCTTGCCCATGCCCGGCAGCAGGATGTACGCGAGCGGCGGCTGCAGCCCGGGGCTGGGCCACGCGCTGCAGTTGCACGGGATCATGTAGCCCGGGTTGCCCGGGCTGGGGT